TCTTATGCTTTATACACATACTTATAAACAAAGTTAGAGTATATTGAATGATCAGGAAGCAAAGGTGTCACCATTTTAGACACCCATGTGGACAATTTTGGATTTTGGAATACTTTGGAATTCAGAATTCTGGATAAGGGAGACTCAATTTGTATATCCCACTGTCTGTTGTCTGGTACTTCTGGTATCTGGTATTGTGTCACTGAGAAAGTATGGTTCATGTTTCCATTTTTGAGCTTGATTGTGTAGAAGAATCCTGAGAAATGTGGCTGTGCATGACAATCCATCATTCTGTATGCTTTGACATGTCATAAGCACATGATGAGATAGCAGTTTGCCATGTCCTGATAACACCTGTTTTTAGGAGGAGGAAATGAACTGCTGTTTTTCCACATGTCTGTGACATTTTGAAATGCAGACGGCACCAGAAAAGAAATCCCCCTGAGGTTGCTTTATCATGTCAGTCTCTATTTCAGATTTTCATTTGAATTTGCTTAGAGAGATTTTGTTCTTTATACAAAGAGAAAGAACTTGCATGCCACATTAGCAGCTTGCAATTTTTAAAAAAAACATAATTTCCCTTTAGCTATATAATAGCTCTTTCTTAGAAATACAGGGATCTGTTGCCAGAAATGATTAGTTACATTCTGTCTCTGAACTCAGTGGTTTCTCAGATAGGTGGATATTGATTTATTTCTTTTAAAAATCAATTAAAAATGAATTGGACTTGGTTTTCTTTTCTTCTTTCTTCTTTCCATTCTTTCCCTGTCTATCCACACCTTTTCTTGCATGTGTGCATGATGATTTCATTGCATGAATGGGATGAAACAAAGGGGAAAACAGAGCACAAGTAAAAGAAAATGTTGCTGAACATAAGTGGCAATGATGGCAAAGAAATAGCTCTTTTCCATCACAGTATGCAGTAATGCACTAATCTCCACCAAATTGCAAAGTAGAATTCTGTGTTGTCCCTGGTGTTTTACAGTTATATTAAAAGACTGAATTGAACCATTGATTGCTTGTTGTGACTGGTTGTGACTGTGGTGCATTTTGAGATTAAAATTGTACATACCTGTCACAACCCGAACTCCTTAGGTGATGCAAATCAAATGGTAGACATGTCTAGTGCACCAACCTATTCATTTGTATTGACAATCAAATTTCATTTGGTGAATTCTGACATAGTAGACAGAGCTCTTGGCTCTATCCATCCAGCTTGGTCCTACTCTTGATAATTTTGACTGATTAAAAGCAGTAGATCAGGTCTGAGGCCTTTAATTCAGGAAGTGACCATCTGGACTCAGTTCAGTGCTTGGTCTAGTTTTTGGAGTAGAGATTGATTTGACTATTCTATAGGATGACTTGTGCCAAGAAGAAACACACAGAAGGAATGCAACTGTTGGTTCTCCTGGAGCTTTAAATAACTTTAAATAATATCAACTATGGTATCCTCCTTGGAATGTGGTCTGATAGAGGCACTATATCCTGCTTTCCCCTCAAAATTGGGACACAAAGCAACTTACAAATTAAAAAATACAATTGAAAACATACAAAAGTGAATATTAAAATAGAATTAAACTAGTATAGTATTAAAATACTGTGTTTGAGTTTTTTTTAAAAAAACTCTGTTTTTTAAAAAAACAGAAATGTGGATCATGCTCAGAGTTATTACAGCAGGCTGTAGACAATTGGCTCTTCCAGGCTAATGCAAAGAAGCAAGAGCTCTCAGCCCAGAGTTTTCACTTAAGGCTGGTCAGTACTCTTGGTGCTGCCTCTACATCCACTCACAGCTTCTCCAGCCAGAATTTCTTTATTGTATATAGGCTCTCCAACAGTGTAGATGGCAAGTATTTCACACAAACTAAGCACAGAATCATAAATTCATAAGAATTCTATTATCATGCAGACTAGCTAGTTGAATCTCTTGCCATGCAACTAGAGCAGTCCTGAAAGATGTCCATCCAACCTCTGTTTAGAGACCTCCAAAGGAGAGTCCACCACCTTCCAAGGCTGTCTGTTACATTGTCAAACTGCTCTTGCTCTCAGAAAGTTCTTCCTAATGTTTGGCAGCAATCTCTTTTCTTACAATTTGAACTCATTGATTCATGTCCTAGTTGTCAAAGCAGAATAATGCAAGCTTGCTCCATATATTGCAAGACATTTCAAGATGATATCATGTCACATCTCAGTCTTCTGTCCTCTGGGCTCCTCAAGCTATTCCTTATAGGACTCATATTCTGGCCCTTTTACTTTTATTATCATGGTTGCCCTCCTCTGGACAGGGATGCAGTGGCTCAAGTCGTTAAGACACTGACTCTGTTGATTGTAACATTGGCAGGTTGGCAGTTCGAGGCCCAGGGTGCTGCATGATGTAGTGAGCTCTTGTCACTAGTCCCAGCTTTTTCCAACCTAGCAGTTCGAAAGCATGCAAATGCAAGGAGATAAATAGGTACGACTTCGGTGGGAAGGTAAACAACGTTCTATGCAAGCATGCTGGCCACATGATGGAGTAGTCTCTGACAACGCTAGCTCTTTGTCTTAGTAACAGAGATGAGCACCGACCCCTATGGTTGGACATGACTTGACAACCTTGTCAACAGGGAATACCTTTACTTTTACCTCCTCTGGACATGTTCCATCTTGTCTATATTCTTCTTGAACTGTGATGTTTAGAATTGGACACAGTATTCTTGGTGAGATCTGACCAAAGTCGAGTGACACTAATAATTAAAATGAAATTCTACAATCCTGATGATGCAGCCCAGGATTGCATTGACTTTTTTGTTTTTGCATCATGCTGTTGACTCATGTTTAGTTTGTGGTCTACTAAGACCCCTAGATCTTTCACATGTTCTATTGTCAAATCAGCCATCACTCATCCTCTATTTGTGCATTTCATTTTTCCTGCCTAAATTTAGTACTTTATGTTTATCCCTGTTGAAATTCATTTTGTTAGTTTTGGTCAAGCTCTCCAATTTGTTAAGATCATTTTGCATCCTGATCCTGTCTTCTGGCACATAAATTATCCCATATAATTTGATGTAATCTGCAAATTTGATAAACCTACTCTTTATCCTATCATTCAAGATGTTGAACAAACCTGGGTCTAAGAGAGAACCCTTTCATACCCCTCTTGTCAGTTCTATCCAGGATGAAGAAGAATTGATGAGCACTCTCTGGGTTCAGTCTGGCAACCAGTTACAAATCCATCTAATATTAGCCCACATTTTACCAGTTTGTTTGCAAGAGTATCATGGAGGATCTCATCAAAAGCCTTCCTGAAATCAAGATACACTACATATACAGTGTTTCCCTGATTAACCAAGCTTGTAACTGTATCAAAAAAGTTGCTAGCTTGTGCCCATAATAAAATTTTGTGGTTATTGGTCTAGACTCTTTAATGGGATGGGCAAAATTTGGCCCTTCATATTTTTTTGAAATGCAGCTCCCATCATCCTTCCTCAAAAACTGTGCTGACTAGGGCTGCAAACAAGTGCAGTCTAACAAGTTCTGCCATATAAAGATCTTTGAAAACTGAGCACTGTTCTTAAATTTGATTTTGCAATTGATAGGAAAGTGGAATGATGAGATGGAAGGCTTCTTTCCTTTGGAAAGCAGTTGATTAATTTCAGAATCCTTGAATGGAATGGCTGCATCCTGGTTTATCAGTATGTAATGAAAGTGAGAAGAGTTCATAAAATCAATATTAGACTAGGTACTGATGCAATCTCTGTTCACCAGTAACAATCATTCTTTTCTTCTGCATCTGCTAGACTATATCCTTCTTGATAAGGTCTGTGGTCTGTGTTTCATACTAGGTTTCTTTCAGAGTGTTACAGATTGTGCATCGCTAATAACAGAGCGAAAAAACATTTGTGCTTCCAAGGAGATATGAGTCACTTGTGCACTCTCTTCTCCCTGCCTCTTGCCAGCATCTATTGACATTTAGAAGGTGAACTCTTGATGGAGAAGTAAAGCTATTCTTTCTCTTTCATTGCATACTGCCTTTGAAGGATGAAGATACAATTTCTTTAATATATAGTCCTTTGTCATAGGCAAGTCTGTTCCATGTTGACTGTTTCTCCTCCCCCATTCCTTCATTACTGAATGTTTCAGTGTCAGATTATAAACCATTTTATACACACATGTTCTTTTAATTATGGTAAAGCAGGACACTATTTTTGATACAGGAAAGCCTTTGTTTTGTAACTGGATTAGGAAACAAGGCAAAGGATTCCAGAGAAGCCAGATTTCCCAATGGTTAACTTTTCAGATGACACTAGAAAGTTGCTTTGACAACAGGAATCACAGATTTTGGTGTGGTAGTCTTCCGTTCATTATAACAATACATCTGTAATAATTGATTGTCTTGCTGGAATGAACTAAGCTGAGCAGTGCAGTGGTAGCTGCTTTGTATTCAAAAGGTTCCAGAGCTGATCTCTATTATCCAAGGTAGCAGGTGATGTGAGCACTCTCTGTTTGTGATCCTGGAGAGTGGCTGTCAGAATATTTTATTGTTTTTTTATCTATTATTCAAATATTTGTATCCAGCACTGTAGCTTAATACTAGGCTAGATGGACAAATAGCTTGAACAACTGAAAAAACAGCTTTCTCTCTAATGTAAACCTTTGAAAACCTTTACCAGATTTCAGGTGGACCTTTGTAAATGTCTTTGGTTGAAAAGCTTGGAATACATGTTGACGTGTATGTTAATACTACTACTATTACTATTTATAGCTCACCCACCTTTCCCCACAGATTGAGGTGGGGAACAACAACAATTAACAGATAAATAACATCAGTTAAAAAGACATCAGTTAAAACACACATCAATTTAAAAGAACAAACAAGATGTTTGTTATGTGCCTTCAAGTTGTTTCACCCTAAAGTGAACCTTTCATGGGGTTTTCTTGGCAAGATTTGTTCAAAGGAGGTTTGCCATTGCCATCCCTTGAGGCTGAGAGCATGTGACGTGCCCAAGATCATTCAGTGTGTTTCATGGCCACGCGAGGAATTGAACCTTGGTCTCTAGGGTTGTACTCCATCACTCAAACCACTAAGCAACACTGGCTGAAAACAATTGTGAATGTTAAATTCATAATTTAACATTCACAATTTAAAAATCACCAGGATAAGCCTGGCAGAAAAGGCTGGTCTTTAATGCAGTTTTAAATTTGGACAGCATATTCACCTGTTGAATCTCTTCTGGCAGGTCATTCCACAGTCTATGGGCAGCTGAAGAAAAAGTCCTTTGGCTGACAGTTACCAACGTAGTCCTGGCTAATTGGAATAAACACCCACCAGAGGACCTGAGTGTATGGGGTGGATTATATGGGAAGAGGCGATCCTGAAGGTAGTCTGGACCCAAACCATGCAGTGGCATCACTAGGGAGATGCGGGAAGTGCGCACCAGGTGACTATCCAGAAGAAGGGTGACACCTGGTCAGGCCCCATCACTGCCCCTCATTGCCATGGCCATCTCCTGAAACTATGTAGGGCTTTAAGGGTAATAACCAACACTTTGTATCTTGTCGAGAAACTAATTGGCAGTCAGTAGAGTGATTCTAAGATCAGTGTAATCTGTTCACTCCTGGATGTTCCAGTAACCAATCTGGCTGCCTTGTTTTGAACAAACGGAAGTTTCCAAACTTGGTACAGAAAATAGCCCAATGTACAGTGCATTGCAGAAGTCCAACCTTGAAGTTACCAGTGTGTGCACTACCATCTTTAGGTCCTCCAGCTCTAGGTAGTTGTGCAGCTGGAGTAACAGCTAAAATGGATAGTAAGCACTCCTAGCCGTTGCATCTATCTGGTGTATATACTTATACTTGTGTCTAAGTCAAGCTCATGTTTAAGTCAAGGGCAGGTTTGGGGGCCAAAATTGATTTGGTATGACCAGTGTATATGTTGAGGATAAAACTTAGGGGGATGTAGCAGAGGATATAAAAGATGGGACAAAGGAAAATGATGCCAAAGAACTTACAAAATTCTAGCAGGCATAACTATTTGTGCTCACCCTAAAAGCTGGATGGATGATGAGGAGGCTATGGTAAATGGTGACTGAGCAATGTGTGTGAGAGAAAGAAATTGAGAAGACCAGGCACAGGTGGGGATAAAAAAATATACACGTCAAATATAAAGACAAAGCAAAGAAAATGGTGATTATGTTAGCAGTGATTACATCCTTTAGCTTTAATGTGATAACTTTGCCTGATTTTAACCCATAAAAGCTGACAAGCACACAAATGTCTTATTCAAATCAGTCACAGCCTGATTCCTCATCACTGGAACAACAATGCTGAAATCCCCTTCTCTGTGTAGATTGGTGAAAGGCAAGAGCTTGGATGGAAAGGTCCATCCCAGGAGAACCTAAAAGAAGCAGCAACCCCCTCTACTCTCTTTGTGCTCCTTTGAGAGGAATTGCCAAAGAGCACCACCACAATTTCCCTACTCAGGTATTCAAAGAGGCCAGAAGTGCTGCTTCTTTTAGGTTCTCTATAAGAGAGAACCTAGAGTGGGGTTAGAGCCTTATTTAGGTTCTCCTGGTATAGACTATGCTCTTGCCTTTTGCTGCTCTACATAGGGAAGGGGATGGTTCATTCCCCCCTTTCTTTTCTTTTCT